ATATAAGATTATTTTTTCATACTAATTATTCAACTTTCATTATTGTTATTATATAAAGTACATACAGTTATCTCGTTAAATTCATTGAAATGTTTATGGCTGTTAAAAAAAAATTATATATGCACGTGCAATCGCTGAGCGTGACTCGTTTGCACCCCTTTACGCGAAAACGAAGGAGCTGAGGCGAAAGCGTTTGCTGGTCATCGAAGGATCCACGAGACACGAGGTATACGGAAAAATTACGCGTGTAGTGGTACGCCGTTCAAATTACGTGCGCGGCTAGGTTCAAACTTTAAAGCTAAGACATAACAGCATTCTAGACTGGGTCTACGCTATGGGCGGAAAAATCCGCAAATCTTACATCAAGACTTTTAGTTCCACTTTTCCTCACCGTACGCGCGGCGATCGAAATTCCGCAAATCTTACATCACTGCCCTCCTCTATTTATATTATCTCTATGGCTTTAATTCACTTTCTCTAAACTCCTAAGTCTATGACTAACTCATAACAACGGCAATGCTCCCTATCGGCAATACAAGCTACCAACAGTTTGAATTTAACGTTGTTTGAGTCGGAACGTAACGTATCCATAGTTCGCAACAGGTAACGCTATTTACTTTTATTTGGAGGAAAGATTTTCCTCTTTACGAAGTGACCGCTTTAAAAGTTAGAACAAATATGAACGATACGAAAAGTGAAAAAAAGGAGAGAGACAGAGGTCAACATATCCAAGTATTCGCACGTGTCAGGTGAGTAATAATTGTTTTATCGAAACTTTATACAAGAATTTAAGAACTCTTTGCTTCTATAATATTCCGTTTTATTGTGTTTATATGCCGTATAATATTCTGCACAGTCACTCTGCTTTTTAATCTTTATCCTTCCATTTGTTTCTGTCAATGGTTATAAAGAATTTGGAAGGGAACAGTAAATCTCAGACAGTTTCCAAAATATTTTATTTCTATTTACGTTTTACATATTTCTAAATATTCTAAGTATTGTAAATAGTAAGTATATACAAATGATTTGAAATGGAACATTGAATTGAAGCAAGTTCACAAATGTATTATATATGCTTCAAAATATTCTACGTTGTGACTCGGTCAACTTCTCAATCTGTATTACTTTTTTTGTCTTCGTCAGACCTATAAATGATTTGGAGAAGAACAATAAGTCCAAGAATATAATAGAAATTCCAAATGACAAAGAACTGATAGTACATGAACGTCTTCACGACAAGTTTTCAAAAAAGTTCAGATTCGATCATGTATTTGGGCCCTCATCAAAACAGGTATGACATTTAGGTTTTCCTTGTATATTTATGAACATTTCACGTTCATGTCTTCCCTATGTACTTGTAAATCAACATTCATGGACATTGTATTAATGTTTCATTTATAGATTGAGCTGTACAATATTGTTATTAGCCCTTTGGTGGAACATGTATTGGCTGGATATAATTGCACGGTATTGGCATATGGTCAAACGGGTACTGGCAAGACATTCACGATGGAGGGAGACTCCGACTTTAGTAGTACATTAAATTGGCAAGCTGTAAGTCAATGATATAAAATCATAGTTGTTACAGTAATATATATAAACTGCTGATTGTATGCATTTATAAGAAAACTAAATATGCAAAGAAGTACATATAAATACTGCATGTAATGCAAAAAACAATAGAAAATATCTAAAGTAGACTGCACATTACAATATTTAAATCATAAAAACAACTATTATTTAGAACAATAAATGTAGTAGATTTTCCAATTTCTGTTCACGTTACAATCTCTACTTACTGGCTTATTTTTCTCTAATTTCAAGGTACATACATGCAATTATTGAGATTTACGCCAATGAGTTGAAATTATAACATGTACATTACACTTTAAGATGTGTGTTACATTATAAAATGTATTATGAAAGAATAAAAGGAATGATAAATGTATAATTGCAGGATTCATCTGCTGGTATGATACCACGTGCAATCAGCCATTTGTTTGACAAACTGCAATTACTGAAAGCACAGGAGTACAATATCCGTGTCAGCTTTCTTGAACTCTACAACGAAGAGCTATTTGATCTTCTATCACCTAATGGTGATAGCTCTAAGATGAGGTAAATAAAATGAAAATGTACAGTGAAGTACATAAATATTTGTAGAGCTTTTAAAGTTGATTAACTTTTCTCAATAGTGGACCTAACGATTTAATTTTTGTTTCGGTGTTAAAGAGATTAGTCTTTTATACGATGTAAAACAAAAAATTAAAGGAAACTGTTGCAGGTGGATTTACGAAGAAAAAGACACAACTTTTAATCTTTTTATTAGTTAAACTTTGTACATGCATATAATATCCTTAGATCTCCAAAAAATATGTTTTAAAATTTTATCAGATTGTAATTACTTCATGATTGCATATATCTTCCGCGAAGCTAAATTTTGTGAGATCCTGTGTCACTGTTCAAACAGTCGCTGATGGTTCAAATGTATAATATAACCAGAAACCTCGGTCTTTCAACGGAGAATGTTGACATCGTCTAATTTTGGTCTTTCACGGTAACACCTGTATTGTTAGGATTTAATTTTCTGATTCACTTAAAAGTAGTGTACCTATTATATCTAAGGGTAATGTCTCAAAGGGTCGTTCTCAGGTGTTTCGTTGGTGACCACAAGGGTTGTTTCATCAAATTCACATTAATTTTATTTATCTGACACGACGTGTAAGATGAAATATCATAATTCCTAATATCATTTTTCATGGAGTCCCAATAACATCGCATCTTGATTTTAGAATACGTTTTATTAAATCTGTAGTGATAGCAGAGTCAATCGATTTTAATGAAACTTTTTACATGCATGTAATTTATTTAGATCNTTGAAACAGTCATTCAATTTTTCAATGTGTACTAATATTTATAGATTTCACTGTATTTAATGTTTCTAAGATAATTTATTGACATTTATTCTTTTTTCAAGGATATATTAATACATGTTTTTCATTATTTTATAACAGATTATATGAAGACGCATCGAAGAAGGGTGCTATAATTATACACGGTTTAGAGGAAATCACAATTCAAAATAAGAACGAAGTTTACAGAATTCTTGAGAAGGGATCAGAAAAGAGGCAAACCACTGCTACGTTGATGAATGCTCAATCTAGGTAATTGTTTTCATCCTTTATAACTGTAGATTTTCATGCAAAATGAACAAAATGAATAAGTGAAAAGATAGAGTAGAATTTGAGACAAAATTTCAAACAAAATAAGTCAATGAAAAAATACATTTCAGATAAACATTTCTAGAAATGGCAATATTAACTCAACTTTGATAGATGTTTCACTTTGTTTGAAAATGTACTTAAAATATTAATGTCGAATCTTACAATTAATATAGCGTAAGATATAGCTGAAGATATATATAATATAATGATTACAGCCGTTCGCACACAGTATTCTCGATTACGGTTCACATGAAGGAGAGCACAGCTGAAGGAGACGATGTGTTAAAGACGGGAAAACTGAACTTGGTTGATTTGGCAGGCAGTGAGAACGTCGGGAGATCGGGTGCCGTCGACAGAAGGGCGAAGGAAGCTGGTAGTATTAATCAGTCCCTGTTAACTCTGGGTAGAGTTATAACAGCTCTTGTGGAAAGAACACTTCATATTCCTTACAGGTGTAACAAATATCGTTTATTATCAATCTACATTGACTTCTACGTATATTTATAAACCCTTTGCTGTATTTTAATGAGTATGACTCGTGATCAGAATTTTGTACCAAACGTGATTATCATGAGTCGAACCTCGTGATCATAATTTCATGCCAAACGTGGATATTACGAGTCATATTCGTGGTCATAATCTCATGAGTAACGAGAGTGTGCAAAGTTTGTTATAGGCATAAAAAGCAGCGGGAAACGACCTAGGAATGCGACATTATTTGCCTTTCTTCGCTCATTAACTACTAATATTAAAGCTTCCTGTATCAGTTCAAACTTCGTTTTCTTAGTATATTATAATTAGACTGCGAGTTTTTTATGCAAAAGAAAGCATTTGTGATATCAATTTAAGAAATGAAATCTAGATAGGAACTTGTTTAATCCTTTAAAAATAGTAATATGTATTTGACTTTTGATCTCGTATCATGAATTTTATTATAGACACATTTTCTACGTTTTCTACCGATATCATTTTTCTATAAATGCAGCAGAACCCGCCGTCTATTTATAATCTTATTATATTCGTACATTGTTGCTGCTGAAGCTTAATATCTGTTCTTGTTATTCATCTGCAGAGAATCAAAATTAACGAGATTGTTGCAAGAGTCGTTGGGTGGTCGGACGAAGACTTCCATAATTGCGACTATATCACCGGCGAGTGTTAACGTCGATGAAACGATATCGACATTGGACTACGCTCATCGTGCGAAGAATATTAAGAACCGGCCGGAGATAAATCAGAAGCTGTCGAAGAAGGAGTTTTTGAAACAATACACAGAGGAGATAGAGAAATTGCAGAGGGATTTGTTGGCAACACGCGAGAGAACTGGTGTGTATCTAGCTGACGAGAATTACAGACAGTTGCAGTCACTGATGTCACAACAAACCAAGGAAATAGAGGCGAAGATCAATCACATAAAAGCGCTTGAAAAATCTATGGCAGATAAAGAGGTACATATATGTATATATGTATATTGATATAATTTTATTTCAGCTTGTTGGTCCAAAAATGGACTTGGCTTACAATTTGTCCGTCCGTACGTTCCGCATTCCGTCCCCTCGCCATTTCCTTCATCTTCTTAATCTTATCTCTTCTATTCTACATTTTGTCTCTTTCTTTTGTCAACTTTCTTCTGCTGAAACTGACTCAAAATGAAAATAAAATTGCCTGAGACTCTGCAGTATTGTTAAAATGTATTGCGAAATTCTTTACGCGATCATTGAAACATAATGCTATTTTGCATTATCAGTTTTTACGTAAAAGTTTATTCTAAATGAAAGTTAGTAATGAAACTATAAACGTGGGATTAGAAAATACATTTTTTTAAATAATTCCGTACATAGAAATTAAATAATTGCCTTTATTATTCCCTTTTCGATATCAACGGCCAATGACCTTTTGCTACCCTTTACAAAAATATATTTGAACTACACAAACAAGATATACAAAGTATACAAAATTATTTTGATACGTAAAAACTGTAAAATAAAGTAAAACGTTCTATAAGAAAAAAGAAAAAAGAACCAAAACGACATAATGAAACATTTCATCATTAATACATACAAGAGTAACGAAATTATACAATCATTTAAACATATGCAAAATTGCGCGAAAAGCATGGTCTTCATCTAGTAGGACACTTTTAATACCGAGCCACTGATGTATATCTATTTTCATTTACCGATTACATTTTTCGCAGAGACTATTCAAACAGCTGGAATTGCAAAATATGGAGCAGACGAAAAAATTGCACGAGGTCAAGATGAAATTGAATAACGCCTCGGCTGCCTTAGACACAACGAACCAGCGGTTGAAGTTGAGTGCGCAGGAACGCGACGAGCAGAAGTATCTCGTGGAGAAATACGTGAACACGGAGCGGTCTTTGTTGAATCATGGGCAAACTTTGTTAAATGTCGCGAACACAGCGACGGAGGACTCCTACAAATTGCACGATAAAATTGCTCGGAAAAAGTGATTATACTATTATTTATTCACAGTTTCCTGTATTTCGTCTTTTCGCCAGAGGTGTGAAAATACTCAGAAAATCTAGTCGAGTATTACTTGGTTCAAATAAACATACTGTGTCGGGTATTCAATAGATCCGAGAGGCTCGAAAGAATCAAATAATTCGAATAAACCGAACAGTTCGAGTAAACCAAGTAGCTCGAATAAATCGGGCAGTTCGAACGGAATCGGGTAGTTTGTAAAAGGTAAGCTGCTCAAATTAAACAGAGCACTACAATGACCCCACTGATTAATTCAAATGCAGAGTAATAGCTTACAGTAGACGAATATTTTTAATCGAAAAATCCAAATAAATAGATCGTGCATTCTATGCTTCGTGCATATCCACATTAGAAATGTATATTAA